GACATTCCCACAGCAGGACCAAGGGGCAGGTTTAAGAATCCCAAGCCAAAATAAAACAAGATGGGTGATTTGGACCGAGATGGTCGTTTCCAACTTATAACGTTTAAAATTCTTATTGCTACTTTAAGATAGATTCGCCAGAGGAGCGCTGGTTTTCCAATACTCTGTTAGTCCCGTTGGCCATTGGGTTACTGGTGCTGTATTTTAGGCATTTTTACGGGTTTGGGACCGTTTGCTTGCTTAATTCTTCCATCGCTTTCCACAATATCCTCGATGGAAAAAAAGAGAGAGAGAGAGAGAATGAGAGAGAAAGGGAGACTTAAAGGAACTGCACGTCCGGTAAAATCGGGAGGGTTTAATTCTGAATAAATAGAGAGCAATGCCTGAAACGTAAACTCATTAAACAGCGGAGAGTAAGTCCCATCTGAAAGAAATGGGGAGTTGCGTAGGGGCGCCCTAATTCCTGCACTATCACGTCGGCTTAAGGAGACTTAACAAGCGCACTGAGGATCTCGCCTTCTCACACAAACATCCCTCCATTTCTTGGGTATTGACCGCAGAGGTGAGAATTGTGTCGGCGGGATGGGATAGATTTTCTTCTCTCCAGTTTCTTCGAAGCGCTGGATGTTTTTCGCGCAGAGGACCGAAGTATCCTGAATTTGATTAAGAACCTGGATGCGCTAATCACTGCGGGGGGGGGGCGGAAGGGGGCTTTGTGTTGTCGTCGCGGTTGTTGTTTTGTTTTGTTTTGTTTTTTTAAAAGAAATCGGGCTGTTTTTCTTTCCCAGCCAGCGATGCGTCCCGAAGTTCAATTGCATAGAAGTTCTATCCTTGGATTGCTAGGCGAGCCTAGCAGACCGGCGAGTTCCCAGTTAAAAATGCACGAATCCGACACAGCTGCTCCCCATAAGCTCAGGCCCCAGCTCTTCCAGGGTGCCTGTTAGACAGCTCTTCTTGCTGGGATATTTGGACAATGGCAGATCCTTTGAAATTGTTTTTCAGAAGTTTAATTTTTAAAGAGTAACCTGACCGTGCAATAATTAAAAAAAGACATCTCAAAGAGACGCCTGTACTTCCAATTAAGTTATAAAAGAAACTTTATTCCACCGCCATTTCCTGAAATCTTAGTGTGCCACCGTAGGAAAAACAACAACAACAACTGATCGTTAGAGTTAAAGGAGCCATAAGGAAGCATTTGTGGCCAGCCAACTTTAAAAAAAAAATAAAAAGAAAAGAAAAGAAAGGGCTTTACAAATGGGAAGGAAGAAGCTTTACTTGCTATGATTTCGAAGAAGTAAAATGACTGCTTGTACGTTCTGGGAAAGTCAGGAAAATGAAAATGGATCATTCTTACAATCAATACCCTGCCAAGGACTTTAGCTCATTTTGGCCTCAGCACAAGAACCTTATCCTCCAATGCCAATCTATCTCTCCTTTTCTTTCATTCTCTTTAATCCCAATCAGGTAAACCAATTTAGGAGAAGGCTAAGGAAGACCTTTCACAGACCGAAACCAATAACTTCGAGTGTAACAGCCGCGACATTCACTAGAATGTCATCTTTCCCCAAAGAGGATGTTCGTTTGCCAGGATTTCCTAGTTCCGCTGGATTTCTTAGGCAAGTCCCGTTGCTCTGGCAAAAAGCCATAGCATGGGGAACAGGACCTCCCCCGGACCACTGAACCCATAGCGAGGCGTGCTGTGCCACTTAATTTCCTTGCACTGTTCAAGGGCTCGGATCCCCCCCCCCCATCTCCAGATCCTGAATATAATGTTTATCGACTCAAAACACTGCCTCTAAATCTTAAGCCAAGTGTATTTATCAATGCCCTTTTAAGAACTCGATTTTTCCAGTTTAAAAACTTCCGCCACCTACGGATGCTTCTCCCGCTAAATAAGCTCAAGTCTGACTTTGGTATCTGAGATAAGGGAAAAGTTTGGTATTATTAAGAACGCTCTCTCTTTCTTTCTGTTCTTTCTTTGAATTATTTTTTTTCCTTCCGCTCCAGCAAAAAAAAAAATAAAATAAAATAACGGAAACTAAAGTCCTCTTTAAACAAAGCAAAACCAACTGTCCGGTCAATCAAAAGCTTCGCCGTTTTCAGCGGAGCTCACAAGCTGCTCGTTTTAGTGTTGGGCTGTAGCTAAGAGAGCTTGAACTCCCGCCTAAAAAAAAAAAGTGTACCAGAAGCCAAGAGAGTTTGAAATCCATTGAAAAAGCTACCCCGCCCGAGTCTTCTGCCCCCTTCTAAGTCTGCCGCAGCTGCGGAAGTCCCCCTNCCCCCCCCCAAACTCAAGATCTCCCAACTTGCCTTTTCTCTGAGGACTTCCCCTGGCCTGTCCAGAAGTGGTTTTAGAAAAGCTCGAACGCACCATGGAGCTGATTTGGTTTTTATTAAGTCATACGAGAGAGGGTGAGCGAGAGGGGGGGGGAGAGGGGGAGGCCCCAAAAACGAGGAAAGAATTAAGCAGGTAATAAAGAGACGAAAGCAAGAAAAAGCCGCTGAAAGCTTTCTTGGATGAGAAACCGGGCCAAAAATTCTGCCCAAGAAGGGGCTTTGGGGCTGTTTGAAAACCCCTTCCCTTAAACATTTGGGGCTGCTGCTAGCAAGACCACCCGACGGGGTCTCAAACCAAGACCCGACGGGGTCTCAAACCAAGAAACAGCGAGTCCACTTGCTGACTTCTCAGGAAGAAAACGGGTCCCCGAGAGGGGAAGGAAGGGGTAATAAATTGGGCTACAGGTGCATCCCTCCCGATCCTTGTCCAACCGTCCCTGTTGTCCAACCGTCCCTGTTGACTAAGGCCGGTTGTAAGAGACCTTGCCCCCCCCGGTGCCCCAATCCGAACCATCAAACTGCCCAGGCCCCGGACTTGGCGACCCCCTCCCCATGAGACACATACAACCCAGTCAAGTGGATAATGCGAACGCGCCGTTTCCCAGTCAGGCCCAGATGTTCAAACAGGTGCCTAGCTTGAAGGCGAAACAAGTCAGTGAGACCATATTAAGATCTCTCGGCTGAGATGCACCAGGATCCCCGTCGGTTCAGGCGCCTGGCGACCCGTTCCCGCCATTGGTACAGTTTCATTTCCAGCCCAGGCGCTACTGTCCGGCTCCGTTAAGATCCCAAATGGGGTTAAATTCCCAAAGCTTCCGAAATATTGGTTCCCTTCGGTCAGCCCCGAGAGATGGATTTGAATCAACTATCTGATTCCCGCTTCTCTCCCCGAGCAGGGCTTCTTCCCACACGCTTTTTGCCCTCTAGATAATAATTTTGTTTTTCTACCTCATCTCTTTCCCGGGGGTGGGAATCGTCTCGAGCTCTCCCGTCGCCCTCGTTTTTAAATAAACGGGCTTCTTTTTTCTTTTTTTTTTCTTTTTCTTTTTAAAAAACGACCTCGGAATAGACGGTGTTGATCATTATCCCTCCCTGGTGAGGTGAAATAAGTGTAGCAAAGGCCGCGCGAAGAAAGGGTTAAGGGTGCTTTTTGACCGAGAAGCCGCGGATCCCGTTTGCGTAATATCTTTATTACTGAAAACTTCAAGGTAGAGAGAGAGAGAGAGAGAGAGAGACGCAATGGAAACCAGATGTCGGAATGGAAAAAGAGAGATTACAGATGGAGAAAATGGAGCGTAAAGGGGCAGCAGGAGTTAAAGTAGGAAAGGAGGAGTCGCGATATATATATATTATTTTCCTGGATCCATTTCGGAGGGCTGGAGAAGTGGGTTCCCCAAAACGTAGACCTCCAAAGCACCTTGGGAAGCGGAGGAGAGAATCTCTTTCCGGCATCCAAAGTCGCTGGACAAACATTTGCTAAAAGAAAACCACTATCGGGATTTGCCTATTGGGATTGGTGGGGGAGGACAGCAGGGAAGACCACCACCACCAACCCCGTTCCTTTCAATTCTAGGAAATTGCGTCCCTTTATTAACTAAAATTCGACCCAGGCGGGCAATCAACCGATGAAGCTTTTTCTTCTTTCCCTTGAAAGCTCCTCCGGTTGAATGCGTGTACCTGGTCCCCGGCTGTTTTCCACACACAAGAGTTGGGAAAGAGAGCAGTCAAAGCCAGCAAGGCGGTAGGCGGCCTTAGCAAAACTGGCCAAATGACACCCCCCCCCCGACCCCGACGTCGACGGTCATTTTTCTCGGTCAGCAAACTCAACCTGATTGGGAAGCGAGGAGCTGGAAGTTAGACACAGAGAGAGACTCCCCAAGGGAAAGGGCAACTGGGGCAGGAGAAGAGCTCCCGGGCTACAGCTCAGCAGAAGTGGGGAAAGAAGGCCGGAGGAATCAGCCCAGGAATGCCCGGAGGGACGCCTTGGAGTCGGCCGGCTCTTCCGCCCCGCGCAGATCTGAGCCGGCAGCCCCAATTGCATCATCGCCATGTGGCCTCCTGGCTTCTATATTGTATTGCTTGCTAATGGTTATTTAAAAACCCAACAAATAATGTAAAAGCAACAAACAAACAAACAAAAAAAGGCTGCCCTCTTTCTCCCCCCCCCCCCGGCTTCCCCTTCCCGCCCGCCGTTCTTTGCAAGGATGGGTTGGGCAGCGCCGGACGGGAGAGCCTTGGCTCGGGGGGCCCGAGAGGAGGAGGAGGAGGAGGAGGAGGAGGAGGAGGAGGAAGGAGAACAGAGGGGCTGAAGGAAGAGCTCCTTCGGAGGAATGCCTCCTGCTCTCTCTCTCCTCCCTCCCCTCTCGGTGAGCCCCTTTCCCCTTTTACTGGGGGTGGGTGGGTGGGTGGGGAGTGGGACGGATCTGCTCAGCTCCGGAGAACATCTGACTCTGCTTAGTGCTGGCTAGCCCAGCCGTCTGTGTGCGGGTGTGTGCCTGCGTATGAAGGCGAGTGTGTATGTGTGCATGAGCGTGCGGGGTGTGTGCGTGTGTGCGTGCGTGTGTGTGTGTGTGTGGAAGGAAGGAAGGGTGGGGGGGAAGCCAGAGAAAGGCTCCCTGGCGTTGCATGAGGACACTGCCTGCCGGGGCCTTTTAATTTTAGGCATGAATGCTGAGAGTTGCGTGTCGTTCTGCGACCCGTCGGCTGCTAGCATGGATTCCTTCTACAACGCCGCCTCGCAAGGCAGCGTCGACGGCTCCTCGCCTTTTAGGGCATTTCCCGGCAGCGGCGACAAATTCGGCTCCGCTTTCCTGGCCGGCAAAGGACAAAGCTTTGGAGACAGCGGCGGCGGCGGCGGCAGCAGCAGCAGCAGCAACAACAGCCCCAAGCGCCGGAGCCGCTACAGCCAGGCGGAATGTCCGTCTCTGGACGGCAGCGGCGCGCAGCAGCCACAGGCTCTCCCGACCGTCGCTGCCTCCGCTGCCTCCGCCACCACCGCCGCAGCCGCCGCCTTTAACAAGTACCACTTGCAGCAGCAGCAACAGCCGCCGCCGCCGCCGCCGCCGCCGCTCTACGGGCAGCGCGGCTCTTGTAAAAGCCCCCCGAGCAGCAACCTCAAGCTGCAGGACCCCAGCGCCCACAACGGAGCCCTGCAGCTTTCTTGCTTCGGTGAGTCACCCGATGGGCCGGGGCCGGGGCCGGGGCCGGGGCTGATGGGGCAAGAGGTCTAAGCCGCTCCCTCCTTGCGGGTTGCTTATCTGGGCCGCCTTGGGCACGGCCCTCTGGGCTGGGAATGCCGGCGCGCCTCCGCTCGGCGTATCCCTCCAGTTCTCGGGGGGTCTTAAAGTTGGGCGCGGGGTCTGCCTCCTTCCTCTCCTTCCTCCTTCGCAAAGCAGAGCGGTGGCGATTTCAGGGCTTCCTTCTGGATTCGTAGGCTGAAGTGGGAGTCCGTGGGCTCCCACACGGAGGCAAACGGCCGCTTAGGCAAGGGAAAGGGCATCGCCAAAATCTCCCGGAGGAAGCCTCCGGAAAGGAGACGCGCCGCCCACTGTCTGATTTCACGGGGAGAAGGAGACTTTTGCAAACGGCCCAATCGAATGGATTCACACGCTGTTGCGCTGAACATCCCTTTCTGGGATGTACGGTCCGCTAACTATAAACTGGATAGCTTTTTTCCTGCGGTTTAAAACGAACTAAAATATGATTAATATATTAGTTTCATAACTTAGCTGTTTCTTATTTTTTGTAACCGAAGAAGCGTGGCTTGGAAGTGATTTCCTGGAATTGGGGAGGAAATTCATTTCAAAATTACGCATTCTCTTTCAGAAAGAAAAAGCGGTGAAAATCTGGAGGGATGTTGAAGGCAGAAAAGACCGTTTGTTTTGCGCGGTTGGTTTCTAATCTCGTGGCAAAGGTTGACCCCCTAATTCTGTTTTGCTCCGTTTCTCCTGTTCTGCCCAAATGCCTCGGAAAGAGCACATTAATCACGTTTAGCATCCCCAAACAAAGCTCTCCCCCTTTCCAGATAGACAGCTCAAATCTTCGGCCTTGAACTTCTGAGCTAACTTTTTGTTAGTGGCATTTAATTAGGCGCATGGAATTCGTGAATACCTTATCCCGGATTCGTTCTCATTTATACGTTACAGAAGTGGTTAAAATGGAAAGCAAGTGTTTGCTTAGGCGGTTCTTCTGGGAGAATACACTGGCGATAAGGAAAGTGAAAATAGAATTATCTCTCTATCTTCCCTCCGCTAGTTCCCTCCCCCCTTATAAAAACATCCTTTAATGTCACCCCCAACTGTCTTTCCTTTTCAGTCCCGAAAAAGCTCTCTGCTTGGAGACGGGAGAAACAAACCAGCTTTTTAAGGTTTGTGATTATCGACCTTAAATATAAAGTTATGTATAAATATACATTTCGAAGCCACGTCCTATTTTTCAAGAAAATTATTTAGAATTTGGGATGATCTTTGGATTGTCAGGAGATGTGCTTTCATGCCTCCTCATCTATCTCCTCCGTCTAATCACTGTCTTCTTAAAATTCGCTGATCGCTTTAAAAATCCTAGTTATTTAAATGGGCTGGGAATAGCTGGAGTTGCACTTATTTCAGCACCCTATAAGCTACTGCTGAGCTTTTATCCTATGCTTATCCTGTAACACTCCCCTCCCCTCCCCCCGCAACTTTAGTAGCTCTTGACTTTCAATGGGAATCGGAAACCCGTGTCTTTCGACATCTTTGTCTTTGCCCCTGGGATTGCCTTTCCTTGCTGCGTTTCTTAGCGAGTGACTTCTAGAAAAAAGAAACACCATTGCTGTCTTTCTCTACCTCACTTTCCTGCTTCCACAAACAGCCTTTTCGGTCTGTTCAAAAAGATTGGATTTGGACCTAGAGAGAAAAAACGGTGGGGGCTGAGGTTATGTTAATAAGCCACCCATCGCCAGAAGAGCAACGAGACCCTCCTGTCTACCTTGTTTTCTGGCTTCACTCACTCTGTTAGATAACTAGCCAGGTCCCAGAGTCCAACAGAATTCTACTGAATTTCCGACGTGTTCGCTGTTGGAGAAGGAACGTCGGAAGACACTGTAAAGTCGGTTGTTCAATTGCGCGGCCGACTAGATGCCCAGGATCGAGTGTAGATTAGGCGCTAAGGGTTCTCAAATAAGCCGACCAACCTTACAGCTAAAAAAAATTAACCGGGTGGTCTGTGGTGTGTGGGAGCCTTTTTATCTACAGTGTTTTTTCCAGAAATGTGTTGAAAAGGGGACAAGCCCATCTCCACCTTGACTAAGAACTTGAGAAGGCGTTTCTATCCGTCCCAAGCACCTTTGCTCAAGCAATCGCATCGACAACGGAGCCTTTTTATGCTCACTGACATACTTGCAGTCCAGTTCAGGTGGCCAATCTCCAGGGGAATGGAGTTGTGGCTTCATTAAAGTCAAGCTAGGAAGATGGGAAATGTAGGCCCTGGAGCTTTCAACCATTCTCTTTCCAAGGAAGTTTCAATAACTGATTTGTCTGTAGGATGTCTTCTTTTTTATGAAGGGCAAATGAGTGGTAAGTAGGTTTTTGGCCCAAGTGGGTACTTAAAATAAAAAATAGAAAGATAGAAATGGAAAAGCGGAGGTAAGCTGAAATCTCTTGGGGTAGAACCGCTAGAAGAGGGAAGCCCCAGCACCCACATAACGATCCCTTTTTTTTTGTCAAGGAAAAGTGGGAGAAGAAATAAATGGCCCCGATTCCGTCTGCCTTTTTAAAAATATCCTAAACAATGGAGCGTTCCGGGATGAGCCCAAAGGGACCCCCTTCAAGTTGAAAGCGACGGGACAGGCTAGTGAGTTTTACGCGCGCTTATTTTCCAGCGGGGAACTCGGTGAGAGGCTAAGAGAAAGACTAGGCAAAGCCGGGCAGAGCCCTGGATGGCCTCGGTCAACCGTCGGCAATAGCCAAATATTCACCTGTACCGGAAGATGTCTATTACCCGCCACTTTTCCCTTTGGCTTTCGGGATGATAAATTGGGGAAACGGGGAGGAGGAAGGAGGGCCTCTCATAAGGAAATATCCCCGACACCTGGCCTGGATCTGTTCTGAATAACCATTTGCGCGGTTGGATGCCTCTAATAGCTCTGCGCCGCGGAATCAGCTGATTCTAGCCCTTGTGTCTGAATCTTTAAACCAGATGCTTGGGATCCATGATTGCTACCATTTGATGGAGACGAGAACGGCCATTGAAAATCAAGAGATTTTCTTCCCCTCGACCCAATTGTGTTAACATCAAGGAACGCGTAATCCCTAACCATATTTAAAAGAAACCACACTAACTTACTTTCCAAATTAATGAAAGTTAACGCTCGATATTCTTTATGCTATTTTCACTATAAAATAAAGAAGCCCAAATGACAAGCGATCGTCGTCCCTTTCAAAGTGAGAGAAACGTCCCGAGTTCACCTTCCCTGTGATCTTCGCCTTTGGGACCCATTAAAATGAGGGTGGTCACAGCGGTAAGGATGGCGAATGGTTAAATGTTAGCAGAATTTCCAACCACCTTTCAGTCAGAGGCGTATTTTCAAAGCAGCGCTCCGTCGTGTTCTGTGTGATGTGGCTTGAGGGACAAGGCAACTTAATGGGAACCACCTGGATTTGTGGGGACAATGAATCACAATAATAAGGAATATTGATGAAAGAATAGCGGGCTGATTAGCCTGAAGGAGAGGTTAGGGAGCGAGGGCTGCCAATTACGGGCTCATGAAATAAATCGTACTTCCCACCGACGAGTCCCCAACTTTGGAAATGGGACTTCGAATTCAAATCCGAGTAAAGAGAGGGCGAGAAAGACCCGGATGCGGTTCTCGCGCGTTCAAAAGCTAAATACATCCTCACACGGGCCGTTTCATCCGCCCTGCAGTGGCAGCTGAAAAGCAAACAGGGCTCCCGTTAAAAGCGCTGGCGTCAAAAGCAGCTTTCTCTAGTGAAAGCGAACGTTTTTGCCCCGGCCCGAGCGACCGCAATCACGGGCCCAAGTCCGCGCCACCGAAGCACTTCATGAAATGTAGGCCCTGGAAGGACCGTAAATGGCAAGAAACTATAACGGGGGACGAACTCGCCGGGAGGCCGACCGTCTATGGAGAAGGTGGCAAGATTTGGGAGAGGAACAGGCCGGAGGACCCAGGGCTCCTGCGCGGAGCCCCTTCAGGGCACGGGGAAGCGCAGCCCTTACGAGGAAAGCAGCGCCTGGAAAGCAGCGGGGCTTCCCGGTCACTTCCTTTAGCTCTGACGGGGATTCCCGTGGGAGCAAGAATCGTTCCCAGAGTATTTTAACTGGACTTCAGGGACATGAACGGGGTCACGCTTTGCGGCCTGCGGGCACTCGGTGCGGATGAAAAGTCCTTGGTTTCCAATGGGTTTGTGGTTCGGCATTCGGGGCAGACCCTCATCTGATCTGGGGTCTAGCAGCCAACCTCTCCTTATCATTCCAGCTTAAAGGCCTCGAGGGCACTTTTTCCAGAACGCTTGGAGACTCCAGGAATCCGTTGCCCGCCTTTTTCGTCAAGCGGCGCGGCCTAGGCCGCGCCTTGGCTCCTCCAACTTAGCCCTTGCCTTGACTCCACGGGGAATCGAGAAAGGCACCCTCAAAGAAAACTTTTTCGAGCGCCCTCCTCAACCCACCCTTCGCATCCTGGCCACGATTTCTAAGGCCGGCTATTGTTGTACAAGCTGGGATTCTTCCCTCACCCCCCCAGATATGGGCGGGCAACGATTCCCAACCCTTCGCGATGAATGCTGGGAATTGTAACCGACGCCATTCGGAGACCGCCGATTCAGGCCCCGCTCTCTGGAAACCGTTGTTTTCCCCCGAGGGCCAAGACCGAAGCTGCGGGAGGTCGGAGCCCCGCTTATGCGCCTCAGAGCCATTTCGGAGGGTTTCTACCAGCGGCCGGGCCTGGCAGATCGCCTTAGGTAGCGAGGCGTCAGTATGTGGAGGTCGGTTCTTGGTAGGCATTAATAATTCCACCACCCCAGTGAGGAGTAATAAGGCTGTTCCTTGGGAACAGAAAACGCGAGGGAGTTAACAGTCATTTGAGGGTTTGCTTAAGCCAGGGGTCGTCAAACATGGCCACTTTAAGACTTGTGGACTTCAACTCCCAGAATTCCCCAGCCAGCATGGCTGGCTGG